CCCCCGTTCATGCTCTGTCTCTCTCTGTCTCAAAAATAAATAAACGTTAAAAAAAAATTAAAAAAAAATTTTTTAATGTTTATTTATTTTTGAGAGACAGAGAGAGCACACAAGTGAGGGAGAGGCAGAGAGAGAGGGAGACACAGAATCGGAAGCGGGCTCCAGGCTCTGAGCTGTCGGCACAGAGCCCGACGCGGGGCTCGAACTCACAGACTGCGAGATCGTGACCCAAGCTGAAGTCAGACGCTTAACCGACTGAGCCACCCAGGTGCCCCTGTGTATTCTACCTTTTAAATGCATAGATGATTAATCTGGTCACCAAAAACTTCATCTTAATCACCAGTATTATAAAGAGGTTGATATCAAAAATCAATGCATAAGATGGGACATATTGTATTAATATTCTGTGTTATTTACTGTAATACCATAAAAGACTATAAATTACAGGTTATATTTTTATGGCTAAATCCAAGATTTTTCATACTAATGGGTCCCTCGCCCATTATTATGCGTCATGAAGTCAATTTAATGGGTTGCTACCAGAATTAAAAGGAAAAATAGGGTAAGATAGGATAGAATACAATTGGAAATATCACAGTGTGTTGTATGTAACAAAGGCAAGTAATGTTCTCTGAATCCTTTTGTTTGTATGTTAGGTATACTGGATCACGATGTTTAAAGTATTTCTTGCTGAGAAGAAGAAATTTTTTCTTTCCTTTTTTCTTGCTTTGTTCCCTCCCTCCCCCCTTTCTCCTTTCTCCTTTATTCTCTGTCTCCTTCTCTATGTATATAGGAAGGTACCCAAACTTCCGCTACCTGTCCTATGTACAGGTCCCTCCACAACGCGCCCCAACCCTCATCCATCCTGATATGATCATATCCTCATCCCTGGGTCTGAAGCAAGGACTGTCCTCTATAGTTGATATTTTCATGCTCCTTCTGTTCTCCTGTCTGTTTGCAAAGGTCCTTTGGTAGTGTGACGCTCGAAACAGGGTTTGCTAGTTCTTTCTATGTGTAATAAACAAATTCTCCCATCTCTAAACCATCATATTTACATTTCAGGCAAAGCACCTCAAACGTAAAGAAATGAAATCCCCAAGGAGAACCACGCTGTGCTGTATGATTATTGTGATTTATTTTTCCCAAGCTACACCGAACTTGAATTTAGAGTCTATTGTTCATCCCTTGGTGAGTACATCCATGTGTGCTATATTTTTCCCTGTCAAATTTTTCTGACTTCCTGGGACTGTTGCAGATGGAAATTGCTTTAAAAAATGTTTTTTGGGGCCTTTGAGAAAATGTTGCAAATGCGAGGAGGGGGTGGTAGACATACGTGGATGTTCGTTTGTCCACCTGGCTACAACTTACCATACTCCGCCATTAGTGGTGGTCAAGGGAACATCCCTCAGGCTTCCCTCCTTAAGTAAATGGCCACTTTGAGGCCTGAAACTCTACTCTGAAACTGACAACAATGACCAGAAGGCAGATTTTGAGGACTGGGGGCAGGACACGTTCTCAAAGCATTTATTTTAACGTGAGCATCAGACTAGAACACATTTCAAAATGTGTGTGTGTGTGTGTGTGTGTGTGTGTGTGTGAATCACAGATTGATATAGCTGAAGGGGCTGTCGACATCATTTAAACTCTTTGCTCACAAATTATCCAGGTGGTTTTGTCTTGTCTTTGGGAAGACAAGACAGAGGATAATAAATACTCCCTCCTTCCTTATGGAAATTATTAGTTATTCCTTCCTTAGGCCACTTCGTGCACCAGAGACAGGGCACGTTACTGGTTTTGAAACCTTGGGAAACCGATGTAATTCTCTCTGTGGTTCAATTTCTTCACCTGTCTCATAATGAGAATAGTACCAATTTCCTGCTTGCTACGAGAATTAGGTCAGTTAATATGTGCGAGATGCCTTAGAACAGTGCCTGGCACATAATAAAAGCTGTGGTGTTGTTTCTGCTGCTATTTCTCTACTGTAATGGCATTTTTTGCTACTGATTTTTTTAAAAGGTATTTTAGCACTGTTGTATTCAGTCTGTCACTACTGTTAGAGTTTCACTGGTACTTTGTGGCATTATAGACTGTCTCTTTCGGTCTTCTTAGTACTTAAAAAAAATTATGTATTTATTTTTGAGAGAGACAGAGACAGCATAACCAGGGAAGGGACAGAGAGAGAGGGAGAGAAAGAGTCCCAAGCAGGCTCCGTGCTGTCAGCACAAGCCTGACACGGGGCTTGACCCCACAAACCGTGAGATCATGACCTGAGCCGAGATTGAGAGTCAGGCACTCAACCAGTTGAGCCACCCAGGCGCCCCTCTGCTTGGTAGTTTTTAATTTTAATTCTTTGTCCCCTGTTTCCGTTATCAAATTTGTTTTTATATTCGTGTTTGCCCAATCTTTGTTCTTTGTTTTTTGTTTAGCCTTTAACAGACCACTTTGTGTTGGAAGTCCTGTTATAAACAACATGTGTTTGAAGTTTCGTCTTGTTTTTTCTTTTCAACAAAATCTGAGTAAATCTGACTTTGCTTGGGGGAGCATAGTTTATTCACATTTAATGTCATATAGAAGATGCTTGATCTTACTTTCAGGGTTGTGTTTTAGAACTTGATACACTTAATTCCTCTTTTCTGTTTTTGTGTCTTTCATTTGACCTAGGTTTGCTTTGTCTTTTTCATTATTTCTGTCATGACTTGGGAGGTGTGCATTATGTGTCTCTTCTCCCAAACTCCAGTGTGAGGTTCCCCTTGTGTGATCATAGGCAGCAGTTTGCCCAGGTAAATGGGAGAGAAACATTCACACCTCCTGTGACTTCACGGGGTCAGTGCAGAGCTCTAGTTACTCAGACGTGTGGGCAGAAAGCCCGAGGCTGAAGTGATCTCAGCAATACAGTCAGCTTGACTTTTATTCCAGAATTTCCTAGCACTCCTGGCCTCCTGGCTTCAGCTGTGCCCTCCCCCTAGACCAGGATGGCCTCCGTTGCTGTGGCCCCAACAATGCCCCTCCGTCCATCTGGGGGCATTGGCTGGTCGGAGGATAAGCCAGTGACTTCCCAAGGCTTCTGGTTGGGTTCAAGTTCCATCTGTCTAGAAACTCCCACCACTATCCCAGAGGTCTCCACTTTTCCTCTCTAGATCTGCCTTTGAGATATAATATCTTCACACAACCCAAAGGCCAAAGACCGTCTCATTGGAGAGATACACCTGAACCTGCCTCATCAGCCTGTACTGCCCTAAGATGCTCATCCGTTCCCAAGGCTGACCTTCTACCATTTCAAATGCAGCCCTGTGCTGATGAGCTTTAAAAAAATATTGTGGTAACATACATACCATTTACCATCTTAACCATTTAAAAAAATCTAATGTTTATTTTTTTTAATTTTTTTTAATGTTTATGTATTTTTGAGAGAGACAGAGACAGAGCTTGAGCAGGGGAGGGGCAGAGAGAGAGGGAGACACAGAATCCGAAGCAGGCTCCAGGCTCTGAGCTGTCAGCACAGAGCCCCACACGGGGCTCAAACCCACGGACCGTGAGATCATGACCTGAGCCGAAGTCGGACGCCCAACCAACTGAGCCACCCAGGCGCCCATGATGTTTATTTTTGAGAGAAAGACAGAGCACAAGAGGGGGAGGGGCAGAAAGAGAGGGAGACACAGAATCCCAAGCAGGCTCCAGGCCCTGAGCTCTCAGCACAGAGCCCGACGTGGGGCTCGAACTCACGAACTGCGAGATTATGACCCGGGCCAAGTCAGACGCTCAACCAACTGAGCCACCCAGGCGCCCCACCTTAACCATTTTTAAGTTCAGTGGCGTTAAGTAGATCCACATTGCCATGCAACAAGTGTGCAGAACTTTTTCACCTTGCAAAACTGAAGACCTAACCCCGTTAAACAAGAACTTCCCATTCCCCCCTTTCGTCCAGCTCCTGGCAATCACTATTATTACTCTCTTTTTATGATTTCCACTACTTTAGGTACCTCACGTAAGTGGAGTCATCCAGTATTTGCCTTTTCGTGACTAACTTATTTCACTTAGCATAATGTCCTCAAAATTTACCTACGTTGTGACATGCGTCAGAATTTCCTTCCTTGCTTAAGTCTGAATAATGATCCGTTGGACGTATATCCCACATTTTGTTTATCCGTCTACCCATTCATGGACACTTGGGCTGCTTTTATGTCTAGGCCATTCTGAGTAATGCCACAGCGAGCCTGCGTGTGCAAAGTGGGGTGGTGGGCTTTCAAAGTGTGGCAACGGAGCTCCTCAAACTTCAACGTGCGTATGAACCCACCGGCGCACCTGATTAAAGTGCAGATCTCAACTCAGGAAGTCTGGGGTGGGGCCCGGATGTTGCATTTCTGACAAATTGACGTCGTGCCTGCTCCGGTGGCTGTGCTTTGAGCCGCAAGACTGTAGACACACAGCCCCCGCATCATCGCTGAGTGTGAAACCCAGCTCTGGTCAGCCTGGGAAATTTTGTCTTTTCTCCGTCTCCCTGAACCTGTTTCCTCTACATAGCATGAGAATAAATAGCATCTCCTCCATTGCTTTGTTGTGAGGGTCAGACGCTCTCATACCAGCACAGGGCCAACACTTAAGATTTGGTACAGAGTTATTTACTTTTACTTTGCTAGCACACGTAAACCCGTGCTAGGATGCCTTTGCGAGGTGATAATTATCTAACTGGAGGCAAAGATGTCAAGCTGGGGAGTCCAGCTCAAGAAAAAGAGGAGTGAGGGACAGGGCCTTGGCGAGGAGAAGAGAGATCTGACGACCCTGGAGCCTTTAGTCACCACCTTATTTATCATCCTGTTCCCTGGGATTTTTTTTTTTTTTTTCCACATAAAATGCCACCTCTCATTCCCGACTGATCGCGCATGATCACTCCAGGCCACCCCTTCCCCCACCCAAACCCATACACAATTATTTTAAAGTCATCATGTCCAAGAGGTGGGGCATTTCCTGGATTTGGTGACCTTGTGTCTTCTGGCTGAGACTTGGCCATCAGGAAATCCCCTTTGGATGGGGATGGCCATTGTCCTCAGAGACTCATCTGGGTACCTCTACATGGACAAGCAGGAGGAAGTCCCCTGGAGGTTCTGTTTTCTTCTCCGAAGTAAAGACTCATCTGAGAAGATCTATGCTCCCCTAAGAGTTCTCCTCAGTACCCAATGTTTAAGAGAAAAGGCAAGTGCCGGAGTCACAGCGGTCCCTGAATGGGGGTGACACGAGGACTCAGGAGGGCAAGGATGGCCTCTGGTGAGTCCCAAGCCAGCCTGACACACAGACACATTCCACTGCCAGAAACCGTACGAGCAGCTGGTGTGCCTGAGAACATTGCTTTCCACGACGTGAGAAACTGAGCCTCAGAATGAGCGAGTGACTTTTCCAACCAGGAAGAGGGGGAGGTGGTGGGATTCGGTGCTTGGTGCGATTCTAATGTTTGCCTTGTTGAAATCCAGGCCCCCCTGACCTTGCAACCCATCTCTTGCAACCCTTTCCTGACCTTGCAACCCATCTCTTTGTACCTTCTCAAATCTGGGAGAGCCAAGGGTATTCACCACCACCCCCGCAGGGGACTCCTCAAAGACTTTATTGCTTTCAGTATTTTTGCCGCATTTGCCCCAACGATTGCGGGACTTAAAACAAAAAATGGGTTATTCTCACAAGAGGCTGTGCATCCTCGCTGGAAGGACGACAGAGGCAGTAGGTGACAGAGCTACAGAGGCGGTGCTTTGCAGAGATGTCCCCTGACAGTTCCCGATACTCACCATAAGAATGCAGGAAATAGTTCAAAAGTAGTGTTTCTCAAAAGATGGCCTCATGTCCAGAGATGTGCCCATTAAAAAGACAGTTTTTGTCACCGCACCCCAGACCTGCTAACCTGGACTGGGGGGAGCCAAGGGAAGTGATCCTTATGGTCACAGATTGAAATGCTATCTATGAGGGAATTGACTGCACCTGAATTGTTTTAACCTCAAGCCTTTAGCCCCTCCAGAAAATGGAGCAAATGAAATCGAGACCTTGGAGAGCTTCCCGAAGGTGATTGCCAGGGATCACCTTCTCCTGGGCCGAGTCCCCCAACCACAGCCCATGAAGAGTGGATGGAGAAGCCTTCCTGGTGGCTCCCCACTCCCTACCCCTAGCCCCCCAGAGAGGATGCAGGCAGGAATACAGCAGAAGCCCCTTCCCTTCTGCCTGGGCACAGAGCCAAAGCAGTCTCCGGGAGAAGCTGGACAGGAACCAGCCCTGTGCACTGACTTTGCTCCCTCTTGGTTGCGGCGCATTTAGGTACAGCTAAGATAAGCCCACTGCAAACAAAAGAGCATTTGGGCTTCTGACATTCCAATCGTCATGCATCGTTCCTCTACTTGTTTCTTCAAGAACATTTATGAACTGTCAGGCACACCACTCCCGTACAGATCCTCATGGCTGTTAACACTGTCATCGAAAAGAAGGAGGGGATAGGAGGAGGTGACAGAGAAAGAAAGGGTGCTAGGTAAGAGAGCCGAGGTCACGGAGACAGACCCACAGTTTCCCGGGGTATCTCCTGATAAAATCATTCAATGCCCGTATGGACACGTGCAGACTCTGGAGCCAGGCTAGCCCGGTTGGAGTCCTGGTTCTGCCCTTTAAAGGCTGTGTGACCTTAGGCAAGTCATTTGACCTCTCTGCACCTGTGCTTTCTCATCAGGGAAATGTGAATAATCATAGTACCTATGCCTTAGATTGTCGTGGGGATTAAATACCTAAGCACGCATCAAGTACTCAACAGTGCCCGACACAGGAGTGTTGGATATATCTTAGGCATTCATATTTTTATAATTGTTATGACGGGAGATAACTAGAAAATAATGAGAGATACCACAGATGGTAGAATGAGCTTTGCCTGGGGTGGCGTTCATGGATGTGTTGAGCTCATGGGAAAGGACACACCACAGAGGGTAGGGGCCGTATGGCTCTCCTGTTGAGCCTTGAAGGGAGTCTGGATTGGGACGCACAGCCTAGCAGGGATGAACTAGGAAACCCAGGTCAGGTCAAGGTGTGGTTACCAGCCGCAGAATTGGCAGTGATCCCAACAAAGCCAATCAAAGTCAACTCTTAAAGAAAGCTGCATGATGACAGGAGAAGAGCTTTATAGAGACGAAGTGAGTGTCAATGTGTGGATGAAAGGGTCCATGGCAATGGTGCTTCTAGAAGAGCGTGACGCTTTGTCCCAGAATAGCTCTTACAACGTCACCAAACTATTCTCGGTGCCTTACGTTTGTTAATCATTTGATCCTTATGACAACCTCACGAGGCAGACTATTTTTATTCCTATATTATAGATGAGTACGGAGGCACAGAGAGGTTAAATAACTTGCCCAAGTTCACACAGCCACTTAACAGCAGAGCTAGGATTTGAACTCAATGTCCGTAGGGTCTTTGCTCTTAACTATTATAGTCTATGGTATAATTCAACTTTATTAAGGGCTTACTATGTGTCACATGCAGTTGATGTAATTCTTATAACAGTTCTATGAGGTCGGAAATATTATTATTCCATTTTACAGAAAAGAAGACTGAGGCTCAGAGAGGGTAAGTAAGTTCCCCCAGGTCACATAACTAGTAAGCAGCACAACCTTGTGCCCGGGCAGTCTGACTCCAGAGCTAGCTCTCACAGCCCCTGCCACAGAAAGCAACAATAGAGCCATCCAGAAGAAAAAGGAACAAAGGAGGAGAAGATGATTTCTAAGCATGCATAATGTAAACAGCCCTAACGCAGCAGAAAGATTGGGGTGGGGACAAGCTGAGTGCTGAGGAGAGGTCATGTCTCAGACTTGTCTAAAACTCGTCACCGGAATGACTCAGGGTTCAAGTCTTAGGCAGAAAGCACAAGTTAAAAACACCATAATTTGTATTTCTTGACCCGACTCAAACTACAGGAACTCGGAGAAACTCAGATGTGGTGATTGGTTCCGCTCCTGGGCCTAGAGACTGGTCTATGAAAAGTGAACACCAGCTCACATTCATAGAGTTCCCACCATCCGCGGGGTACAATCCCCCGCAGCCCTACGCTCAGCTCCTACGTTTCAGAGCACATGAGCAGGAAGCCAAGGAGATAAGACATCTCTAACCCTCACTGACAGTCTCCTAAAATGTTCTTTCAGATTCTCCGTGAACATGAACTAGCGGGGAAGGAGCCACTAAGGCAAAAACGAGCAGGTACGTAAAGCCTTTGCTTGGCAGTCTCTTCTAGTAAGCCCAATCAAATGACATTTGCTGTAACTTTTTAAACCCTGTGATCCCTATAATGCAGTCTCCGAGTGTATCAGGGTTCAATTTTTAGAAGCAATTACAAGGCAACTCCATTCCCTCCTCTACCTAATGATATTAAATGGATTTTAGCAGCACGTTACAAGCCCCTCACCTCCCCCCTCTCTGCTCCCGAGATCGTGAAGAGTCTGTCCCCAGTGGCTCTCTCCTCAACTCCCACTTCCTTGCCTTTCAAAAACACCAAACTGATTCCCCATATAAAATCTTTCATGGGCTCCCAAATGCCTTGGATCTCTCCCAGGATTTTCTCAAATCCAATCACCTGCTGGATTCTTAGCAGACCCCATGTGATTTTCCCACTTATTCTCCTTCTGTTTCCTTTCACATGGTCGCTGCCCACCCACCACCCTCCTTTGTTTGTCGGAGAGACTCCATTCACATGGGCTCCTGCCACGTAAGGCTTTCCATTGATTCCCCAGACAGGGAGGGGCCGTTTTCCTGGGTTCCCACTGCTCTTGTCACATTCCCATAGCACAAGATGCGTCCCAATGCTTTGTAATAACTTTACTTCCCGTTTGTCATCCCCAGTAGACATGAGTTCCCTTGAACCCTCCTCATCTCTGTAGCCTGGCACTGAGCCCAGTTTCTCAGTAAATGAGTGAACAAATAGAGAGCGTATGTCCCTGTCGCAGCTGCCCCTTTGTGAGTCGAGGGTGGGTTCCTACCGCCAAAGCTGCTGGCCCAGTGTCTGTACCAATTCTGGAGAAGGTAGAACTTCTTAACCTTCAGGATTATGACTGAATCACGCCCAGACATGCCGTGGTTTGGTCTGTTTAGTCTTGTCATCTGCAGGAGTCATAAAGCCGCCAAAGAGGGTGGGCTTTCGCGGGGGCCAGGATAAAGGTGTCTGTTGGAGCTTCTCAGAGCACCAACCAGATCGACCTCTGCCCAGTGCTTGAAATGACAATTCGATCATATTTTATTAAGGACTCAAAATGTTCGCTGGAAGGTCATACCTTCATTTTTTCTTCCTTTGCCTTTCTTTCCTTCCTTTTCTGTTTCGGCTTTGTTCTATATCCTTATACACCCTCACTCTCCCACTCCCCTCCTTCCCTGAAGCAGTCCGAAGCACACAAGTGGCACTTTCTGTGCGTTTAAACAAAGCATCAGTGCAGGCACTCCCATCCCCTGAGCCCCCTGGCACCCTGTGACAGGAGCGGAGCTGGAGATGTCCCCATTCGGTACTTTGAACGATTTTCTTTTTAAGAACCAAAGTACTTGCGGGTGAGTTCCAGCTCCAGGTTTCTCCCAGGCTCCTGTAAGGCCCAGGCTGCCAGCCTCCTCGGGGACAGTCGGTGACCATACAGCTGTAAAAGTAGCGTCTTCCTGCGCTTCCGGGCCTGGCTGTCTGTGACCCCTGGTGACATCGTGAGAGGTTAGCCTTTTGGAAGGAAGCCACGTCTGCGTCTAAGGATTTGACATTCCAAAATTTTCCAGATGTGCTTTCATTGAAAACAATCATGATGATAATAAATTACCATAAAAATATATTTTCCGTTTATTATACATGATCCTCTGTGCGCTTAGGCTTTTAGAGTCGTTTTGGAAGGTGATAAGGACTCAACCCATCATCTGCAGAAGACAGTTTGACCTTGGGGCTTCTACAAAATCACCAAAGTAAGGAGTGGCTATGGAAAGACTCAGGGGCTAGACCTCAGAGAGCTGAAATATAAATTGAGATGGAGAGCACCATTCTCGAGGAAAACAATGAAAGAAACCAACAGGAGGCAAACAAAGTTTCCAAGAAAAGAGAATTGTCGACAGGCATTTCCCTTTGAGGCACTGGATCAAAGCTTTAGGGTTTGGGATAGATAGAATCATCTTTAAAAGTAGGATCAGCACTCACTTTTATGCTCAGAGCACTCTGGGCTTCTTCCTAAGTTACTCTGGTCAGTTATATATCTTCACTGGGCCCTGATATGCACACACATGTACATATATGTGTATGTGTATGTATATTACATACATCATACAAACACAGACATATAATTGCATGCAAGTATCTATATGAGTTATTACATTTCAGAGTTGTTGAGACGATTAAATAATATTATGTACATTTTATTTAAATGTTACTAGGGTTATCTAGGGATTTATTCGTGTGTTTTTTTCATTGAAAACAAAGATTTATTTATAGAAATAATATTGCATTTGAAAGAGCCTGAAATCCCTGGTGCAAAGAAGTTCCCGTGTAGCCACTGAAGGCAGGAGAAGGGAAGCCATGGCATACCAGTAGTGTTTTAGGAAAACGAATTCAGAGCCCTGTTGGGGAAGAGGAGTCTGCACAAACACTTAGAGGCCAGAGGATCAGAAGAAGGGTGGATCTGCCAGTTAGAGCAGAGAGGCTACTGGGGGGCAGGGGGAAAATCAGAATAGGACAGAGCATGCAGAGTTACGTCCCGATGAAACCAGGAAGTGGATTCTAGATCGGCTGAGAGGCTGGCACACAGAAGGGACCGATGGAAGCCACCTGAAGTGAAAATTAGCCAGATGGTTATGGCTGAACGAATTAGAGGAAGAAGTCAGTGCTCGGGAGACCAGCGAGGAGGCTCAGCAGCATGGATCATCACTGGTCCTGGTTCCTCGAGTGAAACAGGGAAGGAGAAAGGGGAACATTTGTGAAAGACCTTACAAAGAGCGGGTCAAGAAGACATGGAGACAGACTTGACATAGGGTGAAGGGTAGCAGTGATCCACGTGATACGGTAGGAGCACACAGACCTGGGTGTCTGAGGGATGTGGAGGCCACAGGGAGAACCACAGCTGGAATGGGAATCTTGTCTCGGAGGTTTGCCAGGAAGCTCCAAAGTTACTCTTAAGGGCAATCTTCTCAGGGGAGTGCGAGTGGACGTATCTTTATTGGTTAGAAGTAACACGCATGTGTTCTCCGTGTCGTTGTGGAAGTGCTCTCTGCCAGGTTTCTGAGCCCGATTGGGGAATATTCTTGGGTCCTGGGCTGAAAAGTCCTCGTGGGTTCTTCTTTGGTTTCAGAAGGAATGACTGAGAATGGACACCTTTTCGAGAAAGGGAGACCCAGGGTGTCCTAGCCCTGTGCAGGAAGGGCTCACATTTAAATACCTACCTAGTGAGGAAATTGGGCTGTTGACTCCTGGTGTGGGAATCTCAATCTTTCTGCAGACCTGGCGGCCCCAGTGTGTGCTCGCCCTTCATCTGGGTCCAGGAAATGCTGTGCATTGTCTAGGTTGAGGAACGTATTTCGGGGAGCGGGGGTTATGTTTTTGTCTTTCTTAGGATAGCACACGGCATTTAGTGCACTGAGCAAGCGGAGGTGGTGGCAGAGTGAGATGGCAAGAATGAGGCGCTCTCAGCCCAAGGTCTGGGGTTGGTTTTAGGGTTGATTGTTCCATGTGTTGGGAATGCTTTTTCCTTTTAATTTCTTTTCTTTTTATTTTACATTTATTTTTTTTCCAACGTTTTTTATTTATTTTTGGGACAGAGAGAGACAGAGCATGAACGGGGGAG